TGCCCTCAGACACCTTCCCCATCTACACACACACACACACACACACACACATAATGTTGCAGTTGTAATTGGAATTTACATGTATTTGTATCTTGTTTTTTTTTGTTATGCACTCTCTCTGACTGTGCTGTTTTCATGTTTCACCTTCTCTGCCTCTGTCTTAAAGGAACACTCCACTATTTTTGAAAATGTAGCTTTTAGCTGTAGCTTAGCATAGATTATTGAATCTGATTAGACCGTTAGCATCTCGCTCAAAAATGACCATAACTCTAGGGGAGTTGGAAAATGAGCCTATTTTCAAAAATAGTGGAGTGTTCCTTTAAGCACTATTCAGACAGAATTCATTTTCTAAACAACGTTTGAGTTACGATTATTAACAGAGGATGCCCATGATTTCATGTACTGATGGACCGAATAGAGATTATTTAATCTAAATATAAAATATATGAGTAAGGAAAACATTTAAGTTGATACCTGATTCTTTTACTACATTTACATCTATTCATTTAGCAGATGAAATGTTTCACAAGCAATTATTGCTATGAGGGATGTACAATAAATAGGTATCACAGTACAGATCCCCATAAATGCGGGGAAAAAAAATTATATATCGTGGCCATGATTTACTAGTTAATTTCCTTAATTTAGTAAATCAAAACGAGAGAATGAATTAGTACAATGTGGCCACAATTTACTACAGGGAACAAATTAGTAAATTGTGTAAATTTATTCATAGTAAATTGTATTCCTGTGATTGCACAGCTGAATTTTCAGTAGCCATTACTTCGGTCTTCAGTGTCACATGGTCCTTCAGCAATCATATTAATATGCTGATCTGATGCTCAAAAAAAACATTAATTATTATCATTATTATTATTAATATTGTTTTTGCAGTTTTTGCTGCTTAATATTCTTGTGGAAATCATAATACATTACCTTTCAAATGTGTGTGGTAACGAATAGTTTTATTCAACAACGATGCATTAAACTGATCAATAGAGACAGTAAAGACATTTATAATGTTACAAAATATTTGTATTTAGAAACAAATTGTATTACTGTTTCTACAAAAGTATTCAGCAGCAAAAACTGTTTAAACATTGATAGCAATAAGAACACTTTAATAATTGGGCACCAATAATAAATAACAGGAATAAATTGCATGCATATTTTTATACATGTAAAATGTATTGTTATATGTCAACTGATGTTGGATATTTAATTGTGCCTCTTCTGTGTATCTTGGTCGTCATTTTGCGCTCAGTTACAAAACAGTAATAATTTAATAATAGTGCTAAACGTAATCTTCACCGAAATAAATACAATTATTTTTGTACACTGTAGTAGTATTTAAATTATTTGATTTATTCAATAATCATCAGCTTTTCTGTCTCGCTTACCAGTACAACCATTATGCTAAACTCAAGTGTTACTCTATCCAGATCAACTGCAAACTGGTCCAAATCCATAATGCAGATGCACTAGACAGCACAAGAAATTCAGATGTAATTACGGTGTTTGACGTAGGTCAAAATATATAAGAAGATGTGTTGTGAAAACAATAATATACTGCAATCACACGCTTTCCGATCCGGATGGGATTAGATGTCTCAGAGGTAATTTGCACCGCAATTTCTACCCGAGTTAGTTTGAAGAAAAACTCGATTCAAACGGGATTAAAATCATGAAGTACGTCAGTGAAGCCCCAATTTTCCGAACTTCCTCAGGGAAAACTAGTTCTGTGTGCATATGGCTTTATATGCACCTCTACATACACCTGTAATTAAATGCTCATGGACAAACCTGTTATTTCTGTGTGTGATGGTTGTGTGTGTCTACAGTGGATTGTGTGGACCCCTTGTGCTCAGGTCGCGGTGTGTGTGTGCGCGGTGAGTGTGTGTGCTCGGCAGGCTGGGGAGGTGAGAGCTGTGAGACGGTACTTCCTGCCTGTAAAGAACAATGTTCAGGTCATGGAACGTACCAAGCCCAGACAGGGGGGTGTGTGTGTGAACAGGGATGGAGCGGTGACGACTGCTCCATGGGTGAGTATCAGTCAAAACACACAGACATACAAATGTGCAAGCTTTTTCCTTTCATCTTATCATTTGTAATTATAGTCTTGAAAGTGCTTTTTCATCATTCGGTCATGCGTCTCTCACTCAGGAGTTTCTGATTTTAGTTTGATTCAGTTACCATTGACCCCAAAACTCCAAATCCAGTTCCGTTCCTGTCTGACAGAGTAAAGCAGGGCCCTGTGTGCAGGAGTATGGATCGGCTCTTAATTGTAATGTGATATACATTGCAAAAGGGGAATGTACTTTCTTTAATAGAGAGAAAACGGATTCGTCCTTATTGTCTGATTGATTGTGCATCTCGTAAATGAAACCTGCTGGACTGTGGAATTTCCTGTTTTACAGATGGAGGAAGAGGTTTGCCGTTAAATGCATGATATATACTGGGCACTTTCCACAAATGCAGTGCACTTTGGTATCTCATTACTATTTTAAAAGCTTTAGAGGCCCAAATTCCTTTTTTTTTATTATTATTATATTTTATAATGTGTTCCCATCCCTTTCTACAGCAGGACAGGAGGACAACTAAATAATCTCACTTAACTTTCTCAGTATTGCCGTGCTGACTGCATTTGTCAAGCACAACCATTTAACCCTGTTACTCAAGTTATTGTAAGAAAAATGTATTCAAATATATTTCCATGGGACACACAAGTTTAATAATAACTGCAAGCAAACTTTTTGTCCTAGACTAGCTAGCCCCAACTGAGTGATAACATTATTTCAGGTAAATCTGCAACCTTGGGTGTTTATTTAAAGCTGGATGTTTATTGAATGTTTAGTGCTATAAAATTTAACAAACTGTATTAAACATGTTCCAAATTTTTGTTACAAGGTTGCAAAAATTGTAGTACTCATACAAAATGAATAGAAAATAAAACAACTTTTGTAATATTTAGTCTGACCTCTCCTGAGGTTGACAATCATATATTCTGACGGTTAAACTGTTCCTTTCACTGTGCCATTTGTTGAAAATGGTACTTCGTGTTGTGATAGATTCAGGCCTTATTTTGTAGCCTATTCATGGAACGTGCCACCAGTTTCATCATTTCCTGGTTGACAATGATGATATTTAAATAAGAACACTTTTTTTATTGCAAAGAGGTGGCTCTTCTGGAAGATCGGCAGGATTTTGTAACTCATTGCCTTTTGGCCACTGGCTAGAATATGAAAGCATTTATTAAATATTAGATTATCAGAATGCATGAATATTACAGCTTGAAACTGTCCGTTTCCACGGCAGAGCAGTTAAATTGATAATGTGTGTATTAATAAACATTCTGGTTTAATGCCCTTCCTGTTATTTTCAGACATTTATATCTCGTGTGTGATTGAGAGGAAGAGCTCTCGTCCGATGTGCTTTATGGAACAGCAAGGATAATTTGTTTTGAACGGTACGAGACGTGGAGGGCGATAGGAGTGAGAAAGACAGAGGAGAGGCTGTCCAAACTCAACGCTCAGTGCTGCAGTTACAGAGGAGAAATGTGGCAGCTGATTTTAAGTGACTTTTAAGATATGAAAAACTGTCATCTCAGTTTGACCCGTCACGAATCCTGTAAGTACGCGTGAAGACAAAGCCATTCTGTCTGAGGGCCAGAGAGCAGAGATATCTTACTCGTTCAGCGAAATTGTTTTTGTCATGAAACCGTGCTAAACTCTGTCTTGAATTCAGAACCACAGTAACATTCGAACAGTTTAGGCTGGTGTGAAAAAGCAGGTTGTAGATGGAGAGCAGAGGATGTGCGTGAATTTCTGCTCTCTTTATACTCGTTTCTCACAATTAAAGGGGTCATATGATGCGATTTCAAGTTTTCCTTTCTCTTTGGAGTGTTACAAGCTGTTCGTGAATATATAAGATCCCTAGAGCTGCAAAGACTAAACTCTCAAACCCAAAGAGATATTCTTAATAAAAGTTAAGACTAGTCCACGCCCTCCTAAAACGCCTCGTTCGAACACGCCCCCACATGTCTATGTCACTGTGTGGGAAGATTTGCATAACACCGCCCAAATGTATATGCAAAGAAAGAAGGCGTAACTTTATTCTCGCTGTAGTATAACGCACTGGATAGTTGGCCAATCAGAGCATACCTCGCTTTTCAGAATGATAAGCTTTGTAAAAATCGACGCATTTCATAGAGGGGCATAGAGGAGAAACAATAATGTACAGTATGTGGAAAATAATGTGTTTTTTTAACCTTAAACCACATAAACACATTTCATTACACCAAATACATGAACTAATGTTCTTTTTTAGCAACGTCATATGACCCCTTTAAAGGTGCACTCAGTCAAAAAAAGTTGTACAAAATGACTTGTCAAAAGTCTTCTAGAAAAAGGCTAACAAGTATAAAAAGTTGTTTATATAGTGTACTGTATATATAGTACATTAAGCCAGTGTGCTCAGATTGTTTGCAATGTCCCAAACAGTCCAAACAGAATGAGTGAAAAACTCCAAATAAGCAGTCCCTACTGGAGCGATGAAACAAACCGTGACGACCGGCAGCATCGAGGCAAAAACGCTGGGACGTCAAGTGCAGAGAGTGAACACATGACCACACCACTAAATTCCTCCATTCAAGATATAACCACAGCAGGAAGTGAGCTCTCGGCAGTCATGGTGCAGTGCAGCAGCCAGCTGTGAACCAGCATGATCCACCAACAACACAGAAAATCACTGGATTGATTTCAAGAATGGCCATATACTGTATGTTTAGTACGAAATGGAGGAAAACAGACAGAAGCAGCAAGAGTTAGTGAACATGCAATACTTGGTGCATTCAATAGGTGTCAGTATAAAATCCAAGACGAAAAAGAAGCAGTAGCGTAAACAAAAACGTACAAAGATTTTATTGTGTCGATTGTAATGAATGGTAACAAATGTCTTTTTCTCTCTGTCGCGTTCTGTCATTTATTTCAGAGGTTTGCCCCGTTCCCTGCAGCGCCCATAGTGTGTGTGTTGCTGGACGTTGCCAGTGTGAGGAGGGGTGGGAGGGGACCACCTGTGACAAACAGGCGTGCCATCCAATCTGTGAAGAGCATGGAGAGTGTAGAGATGGACAGTGTGTCTGTCAGCCCGGTTGGGAGGGAGAGCACTGCACTATTGGTATGTCAGAATGACACTAATTGTATTATACTATTATATGACATTATTACACAATCTTATATATACTATTATACAATTCAAAAGTTTGAAGTTAGTATGATTTTTGGTTATTTTGAAAGAAATTAATAATAATGACATTTATAATGCTACAAAAGATTGAAATTTTAAATAAATGCTGTACTTTTATGATAATAGATAAAGAAACGTCTCTTGAGCGCCAAATTGAAAATTAGAATTTATGAATGATCATGTGACACTGAATATTCAGCTTTGCCATCACAGGAATAAGTGACATTTTAAAATATATTCAAATATAAAATTTGAAATTGTAATAGTAGTTTACAATATTACTGTTTTAACTGCATTTTAAAAAAAAAAATAAAAAAAAGGCTGCAAACTTGGTGAGCATAAGAGACTTTCAATTGCCTGACCTTTCATTGTCCAACACCAAACTATATATATATATATATATATATATATATACACATGTACAGTATAAAATGTATAATCATTATACAAGAATTTAAAGCAGTTAGGTTGCATGTGGAATCAGTGGCACCAGTTGCTTTGCACTCTGTGAATAGTTTTAATGGGTAAAGTTGTTTGTGTTTCACGATACTTTTTTTGTGTTGTTCTTTGTGTGAATAGGCCTTAACACCCTTTTTTTTAGTAACATCTTATTTCAGTCTTGATATTTACTTGACATTTCGCCAAACCTTTGACAGCAGGGTGTCACATTTGATTAACATGTTAGCATAAAAACAATCTTCGTTCTTACTGGCAAGCTTTTAGAAATCATGCTCTAGACACTTTGTAAATATCATATCTTGATGATTATTTGCCTTTTCAACCATTTTTCAGCAGTAATTTGACAAGCTTTGTGCATTTTTTATGAAACATGTAAATCATCTGACACTGAACCAACATGGAGCCGTGTTTTTGCCTTGCAGATGATGTATAAACTAAACAGTCTCTCTCTTTCCGCCCGTCTCCCTCTTCCTTTTTTTCCGTCTTTTTTCCTCCTCCGTGTCAAAGCGCGTTCCTTTAATTGTGGCGCTCATGGTGAGAACAGTCTGTGAAACTCAGGGGACAAATATACGCTTAAGGCAGCAAACGACAGGGACACTTAAAAAAAAAAAAACAGCAATGCACATACACGCACACACAGAGCTTCTCTGAAGTATGTCTCCAATGTAATTTCTCCTCTTTGTTCTCTCTGTCTTTCATTTTGTAACTCTTTCAGCAGCACAATACCTGGATCTGTTTGATAAAGGTAAGTGTATGTGTGATAGAGTGAATGAAGGAATGAATAGATGACTTTGTGATGTCTTTTGTATGAACAATTTTACTTGAGGTCTGAAGAAAGAACGCTGTGATTATAGATATGCTGTCTCTCTTTCCCTTAGATGCTTGTCCGGGGTTGTGTAACGGTAATGGACGCTGTACGCTGGAGCAGAGCGGTTGGCATTGTGTGTGCCAGTCAGGATGGAGCGGGCCAGGCTGTAATGTCGTCATGGAAACCGAGTGCAATGACAGTAAAGATAACGACAGCGGTAAAGAACCCTATAGAAGACGAGCTGTGTGGATGACAGATATAGCACGGATGAATTTAGCTTTAGGTTAACATTCACATACTCACAAAGGTATTGTTAAAGCATGACTAGCTACACTACTGTTCAAACGTGTAAGGTCAGTTAGATTTTTTTAAAGAAATTAATAATTTTATTCAGCAGTAATGCATTCAATTGACCAAACTTGACAGTAAAGACATTTATAATGTTATAAAAATTTCCATTTAAGATAAATGCTTTTTTGTTGAACTTTATATTTATCAAAGAACCTTAAAAAAATTTATCATGTTTTTGACCAATATTTTCAACATTGATAATAAGTAATATTTCTTGAAAAAATCAAAATCTGCATATTAAAGTGCAATGATTCCTGAAAGGAATCATCTGACATGATCTGAGTAATGGAGTTTAAATTTAGCTTTGCCATCACAGGAATAAATTGCATTTTAAAATATATCAAAATAGAAAATAGCTATTTTAAATTGGTATAATATTTCATAATTTTACTGTTTTACTGCATTTTTGATCATATAAATGCAGCCTTTGTGAGCATAAGAGACTTCTTTCAAAAATAATGTGTTAAAAATTGTAACCCTAAACATTTGAATGGGTATTATATGTGCAAAAATGCACAAAAAAACCTGTTGTATAATAAAACACTTTGGCTTATGTCTCAAATTGTGTGAGTGGGTTTAGTTAGCTATATTTTTAGTCCATAAACATAGTATAGTACTATTATAAGTTAGCTAAATCTGACCAAACCTCCCTTTGGGGACACCCTCAATTTAAAAATAAATAAATGAATAAATAAATCATAATAAATTTGTAAAAATTTAGCAGAATTGTAAAAGTGCAAAAAGATCAAATGCAAAAAAAAAGAAAAAGGTACGATTAAGGTGAGTCTGTAGTGATAAGCATTAGCTTTATATTAAAACAATAGAAGTCTAAAATACGCATGTCCTCTTTAAGGTGACTGTTTAAACATATGTGTGAGTGTTTGTGAGAGAGAGGTTTCTGGGTTATTCTCTCGGAGACTTTCTCCTGTGGGAGGTTAAAAACACAGATCCCCTTTAATGGAGCTGACAAATGAGATCACGCGCACACAGACACATGCAGAGCAAGGGCAAGCTGCATCAAGGCTACATGTCTCTGCATGTAAAGTGTGTGTGTGTGTGTTTCAGATGGTCTCATGGACTGTGTCGACCCAGACTGTTGTAGTCAGCAGATGTGTGTGAGTGCCCCGCTGTGCCAAGGCTCGCCTGACCCACGTGACATCATCCAGCAAAGCCACGCCCCTTTTGAGACACGCCCTTCACGCCAGTTCTTCGACCGTGTGCGATTCCTCATTGGACGGGACAGCACACACATACTGCCAGGAGATCTGCCATTTGACAGCAGGTGATAAACACACACCTGTAAATATTAGAGCAAGCACGCTGAGCCAACACACATGCACACATAATCTTATTACAGAGAAAACAGCACTTGATCTTGATCTTTCCCAGATACTCAAAGATTTGTTGGCATGATTGTGATCGTATTTATATGCACATCATTTTCCTGTTAAAACCGTGACACTTGTTTTATTATTTCTTTGTGGAATTGTTGTGCGATCGCACTGAAATTTTGGGTAGGAGTCAAGGCAGACTATGCGGCATCAACTGTCTGTTTTGTCAGACTGCAATAGACATCTTAATTCAGACTTTGGTCACGATTGACAGCATTGACTGGCCGTTTAAGCCACCAGCCCGCATCCGTTCTGACATCCTCATTCTCATGTGAAATTGAAATGATGCGCACAAACCCAAGCATGCCCTTGCATGCCAATGTTGCCAATGTTTTGGCTGGAAAAGGGGGAAAAACAAGGTCAAAGTGCCTGGAGTAATTTGGGAGAAAGAGGTCATGGACTGCTCATTCAAAATAATTTTGATAGTACAATCATAATGGTAATTTATGCAGGTAATTCTGATTTCTGAGATATTTATTTTGCATATCAAATTTGTATCCTCCTCACAGAAACAAAGACATAGTCAATTCTATGAATTCTTTTAAGCATTTCTTTTAAAGTTAAAAATCTAACATTGAATTGACATTGAATGACATTGAATTTTTATTAATACAGGCATTATTGTTAAAATTGTTTCAGGAATTTGGACTGTTTTGAAATTATTAAAAATTATATATATATATATATATATATATATATAAGCCTCTTAGGCTTGGTCGACCAACATTTTATTAGTCGCTTAGTTGCAGAAAAAAAAATTCCACACGAAGTGGCGAAATCATGCAGTCTGTGATGGACAAATCGTTAACGGCTGGTCTATGTGGTAATATAGTATATCGGGCAGGACATCCATACGCTCACCTAACATTCATCGACCTCAAATATGGCTTATCATCTGAAATATGTATGTAGTAGCAACTTTACATGGCAGCTCAATCTAATGTTAGCCTAGAAAAAAGTGCGCTGTTCACGTGTTTGTGCGGAGTGTGGAAGCTGAACAGTAGTGTGCTCACTGCAGGACAGATGGAGGCGCCGCTGCGATCATTTGCTCTTAAAATACTTCGTCATTTTTGGTTATACAGATAAGAGTAATGCATCTTTCGTATCTGTAAAGACTACATTTATTCGTGTGCACTCAGAATAACAACGAAACTTTGTGCTTTTGTAAAATAATTTAAGCAAACAGGATGCGTTTTCTGCCGTCTCGGGACGCTGAACAGAAACAGAAAGCACTAGTGTATCAATAAATTATTAAAACGTTAATGCAGTGTACTTGCTGTTTTTCCATGATACATTCATAATTATTATATTTGCTGGTGCGCTGTGGCAAGCCTTTTTTGTGTGCGCTTGAGCGCTTATTAGGCTTTGTAGGCAATTAAAGGCTCATTATTATGATTTATATGGTTTATTAATAGAAGTGCGACTAATAGTTGACTAATGCTTAAAATGAATGACTACTAGTCAACCAGAAAAATCTTTAGTTGAGAACAGCCCTAATATATATATATATATATATATATATACGATATAGCTAAAAAAGCATTTAAATTGTCAATGCAAGGAAGTAACTCGTAACTCTATAAAAACGTGCATTACGTCTAAATTAACTCATAAAAATCAAATATAATTTCGTAAATTGCATAAACAAT